CTATAAAAAATCGCTAAAAAATATTATTAAATTCGTTTTCAAAACTAAACTTGAAATTTAAACATGTTTTTCAAAATTGGAACTAGTGCAGTTCAGACTAGTTTCTAGCCCTTTTGAATTATATAAATATTTTTTATAATAAATTTCTAAAATTTTCGTTATTACTGTAATTCTTATACCTAAAATGAAACTATATTTTTTCGGACTAGTAGGAAATTAGTTTATAATATATRTAATAGTATGTAATATTATGTTTCTAATAGTCACAATAATATGTAATATGTAGTACTATTACTGAAACTTTTTTCCGTATTTATTTKACGTAAATAACTAAACGTCTTCGTCAAATGAAACCATTTTTGGACTACTTGGTAACTAGTTCCTAATAGTCATAATAATATGTAATATACAATATGAGTACAAGAACTTTGTAATTCGTAATTATTGTACGTAATAAAYAAAAGTATATTTTTTGGACKWGTTAGTARATAAATAATTGAGGAAWGCACTGCGAMCTTASGTCTATTGTGCCCTTAKTTAGTAACTAGTTTCAAATAGTTATAATAATGTGTCATATGCAATAATATAGCTGGAACTTTGTTAACGTAATTATTGTACATAACAAAATTAAACGTCTCGGTCAAACTATATTTTATCGGACTACTTGGTAACTAGTTTCTCATAGTTATAATAATATGTAATTTGCAATAACACTATATTAAACACTATTTTTTTCGGTCYAGTCGGTAACTAGTTTGCAATAGATATAACAAAATGTTATATGCAATAAGACAACCTGAACTTTTATATATGTATGTACTACTAAAAATGGACTAGTACCCACTGAACTACTTCGGAACCACATTTACTTGGTAAACTCTACAGCTTAATTTATATATTTATAAATTTTCAAGCTCGCAAAGCCACTAAAGAGATGATTTATTTATGATTCAAGGTAAACACAGAAAAAGACGAAATGACACGTGCCACGGGTTCATGAACAAATTAGCGCAAAGATCAAGAGTCAATGGTGTCATATATATAATATTTACATATGTATGTACATATATGTATGCTAGGTAACTTTGTATATTTATAAAATATTTGCATAAAGCTTACACTTGTCAATATTTTAGAATTCAGCCAAATCATATAGAGGCGTAACCCTCGTCTACCCATTGTTAATAGAAGAAGCAAGCCCGGCCATATTTACTTAACCGTSTAATGAGTTGAACACAGTCGGTGCACGAACAATGTAACTACCACTAACCCGGTCATTATGAAGCAGTCGATTACTGCATGACTAACGGAATTTTTGATGGTCACATTTTTGAAATAATTTAACACAAGTAAAAAGTTTTTATATGTACCAATTAATATAAATGTGGGTGTGTTAGTTGGCGTTAGTTTTAATCGCACAGCAATACTTTGGGATTTATAAATAAAATCAGTGGAGTGTGGACTAGGTTAATGCCTTGTGATTGTGGCTGCAAATATACAAATATATGTTTAAAGACATGTGTGGTGTGTATATATATGTTTAAAGACATGTGTGGTGTGTATATATATGTACATACATTAATTTGTATATATTTTTATTTATTTTGTTATCTCATTGCTTATTATTTTTTAAAGAGATTGCAAATAAAACATATTTAAAAAAAATGTTTTTTTCGAAATTTTTAATAAAATATATGCTTCCGTCTASAGCTGAGTCAAATTTCATGTTGACGTCGATATTTACGTGTTTGTTTGTTAATATGTATCTATGAATCATGTAAGATTCTTTATAAACTCAAAAATTTTAAAACCTTCGTGAAGGGCTAAGTTCGGGTGTCACCGAACATTTTATACTCTCGCATGATAAAGTGATAATCGAGATTTCAGGCGTGGTTGTGAGCCGATTTCACCCATATTTGGTTTTC